TTGCCGTGCCGAATCCAAAATAAAAACCAAAGGCGATCCGCCCCAATGAAATAAATTTCAGAAAGTCAAATTTTGCAGTTGTTATTGTCGACATTATTGGAAGTTTTGGAAGCGGTACTGCGGCGTAGTTTCTTTGCTTTTATTATTATTGTAAATTATTTCATTTTATTTTTTTTGTTTACTGTTTGCGCTGTTTTGTGCTGTTTTGTGCTGTTTGCCCCTTTTAATTCATTCATTGCTGCTACCGCCATCGTATATATCTCAGTCGCTGCTGCGATTCTCGTCCAGATTTTTTTTGAGTCTTAAGCGACCCGACCGCACAAAGACTGTAGCCCAAACAAACCGGCTTTTGTGAAATTTTGTTAAGTATTTTGCTTGTGTATAGGTTGACGGTGGACTTGTCTGTGTATCTTTATTATGGTGGATATTTTGGGAGCTGCCAACACATAAAGCTTTCAATGCGGCCTCTTTTTAATTTTGACTCTTTTGGGACTAACTACGTTGATTTCGTGATATTTGCGTTGTCAGTTTATTTTTAAAATATATTTTTGATTTAGCTAAACGAAATGTATCTCAAGAAAAATGTGTATTTCTTTTGACAATTTATATTGTGAAAGTTTCCAAATAAAGTGCGGTCTTTAAAGTTTTTAGTGTGTAACATAAAAAAGATATTATCAACGTAGAAATGCGAAAACAAACGAGAAAACCAAACTATAAACTTCATATGTACCCACATAAAATCGTTTTCGTAATGCGGTGAGCCAAATATAAATTTATTAAATTTTCAAGATTGCTTATAAAAGTTTTATTAAAGCAATATTATTATCTTTAAATAATAGTATGAAAAATTACAGCAAATTTATATTAAACATGTGGCGTGTTTATGAACCCTCAGATATTGCGAAAAATTGCACTGGAGTTTGTCTCTGACGCCAAACACATTTAAGGACGGATTCTTGGCTTCCGATAATACAAACTACCACCTTTTTGCTCTTGTGGTGCATTCATTTATGTTAAAAGACACCCAAAAAATGTTTTGAAGGTTTTAATTTTGTTTCTTTGAATTGAAATCCGATTTCGTATAAAACCGAAATTCTTTTATAAAATGAAAAGTAGTTTTCGAGTTTTGTTCAATTATAGGACGTAGGTTGAGCCCTTGAAAAATGACCCTAAATACATAAAGAGAATGTGCGCATAATGTTTTGTATAAAATGCTGCGTATATAATGTGTTATGTACATCAAAGTATATACAAATACATGGTAAATGTATTTCGATATACACAAGTATCTTGTAGTACGTACTGTACTGATCGCTTGGCTTTTTATGGCATTTTCGTCTTACTATGTACTTCGTTTTATTTTGAAATATTTTATGCATATGCCCTGTCTTTAGTAAACTATTATGAACTGAGTTTTAATTTTGTATATTTTTAATTGTAAAACTACTTTTGTTTTATGAAGGGATGTATTATAAGTTCTCAATATCAAAATAGACGCTTATCGGGTAAAGTGGTTGCAGTTCTTCAATAATTCTTACCAATAATTTCAACGACATATTGTAGTAGAAATAAAAAAATCATGTCTCTTAACCACCACACACAATACTACATATTAAACTTAATTACTTGTATATTGCAGAGGGAATTCATTGAAAAGATGTGATTTATAATACGTAAACGTATTATCAGTACAGTTTGCCTAAAGTATTTTTTTACAAAAATTTTAATATACGTTTAGTATGTGAAATTGCATACAGATATAGGTATAATAATAGCTATTAAAGTCTGATAAAAAATTACTTATAAATTTTTATTAAAATTATATTTGATCATTTTTTATAATTTTACCAATTTTTTTTTATAATAATTTCATTATTATTTATCAAGTCGAAGACATGTCATAATTATTAAAAAAAATTAAATTTATTTAAGGATTTTTTTAAATAAATTATCTTACTTTGCAAATATTTTGAATTTTCGTTTTTTTGCCATTGTTAAATTGTAGTTGTGTTCTGGGTGAACTTCTTAGACGTAGTATTGGAATTTCAGGATGACAAGGTTCTATTTCTATAAGCAAGAAAAACGATCTGAGTGTTTACACATCTAGATTATATAACGATTTTTTATTAGTTTTATCACATTACAGTTATAAATTTAAAATTTGATTGTTTATAAATAAAATAATTAACAGAGATGATCGTTCTCAAAGATGTAACAGCAGTTCAAAACAAATAATATTTTTTGACCAATTGTAAATAATACTCAATGTTTTATGAAAACGTTTTTTCAATTACGGAGATTATGCCTTGCATCTAACACTGTGATGCAATGTCTCAGAAAAGTCCATCCAAAAAAAATTGCGGCTTTGGTGGTCGCAATTTTGTACTTTTCAAAACTGCATTAAAAAAACTTTTTTTTTTGATACCAAACATTGAATTGATAAGCATTTGACGACTCCGTACTAGAGACCCTAAACGTTCTAATCGCTCATAATCGGCAGATGTTTTCAAAAACAAACAAAATCTATAAAATAGTTTTGAAAGACTATAAAGTGATGTTGTATTAATCGCTTTACACCCTACACATATTAAAATGTAGTATGTTGATAATTTTACATCAAAATATAAGAATTGTTGCTTTCGAAGTGAGTATTGCGATTGCTCACTTTGCGATTGTAAATTATTGCTAAGGACATGTGCGAGTTAGGCTAAGTTGTGTTCTAAATTAGGGAAATTCTAAGTTGTGCCGATAAGGTAGTGATATGTCGATACGTGTTGATAAATAACTAAATGTGTGCAGTGCAAAAAATCCCAAAAAATCTCCCATCTGGTTTAGTATCAACTTAGCCTAACTCGCACACGTCCTTAACTCGCTTCCACGCCCATCTTACTCTCAAAATTTGGTTCGCAGCGACTACTAGCATTTTGTAGACATCAAAAAGATGTTTAAAAAAAAATTTCCCACAGTTTTTTAAAAAAAACTTTTTTTCTTTTAGTGGGATCGAAGTCTTATTAGATGATGGGCTTTATATATTAATATACTTTTTGGTTTTGTTTGAAATTTGAGTATTTTTAAAGCATATTAACATCTAGAATTATTAGTAATATGTAAATTATTATATTACATGTTCTATACTATTTCATTTTAAGCAACTGGAATAGTTATATAGTTATTCATAAGGTTTTGAATATCATTAGTTTAAATTAATTATTAGTTTAACTAAATATAAGATCACAAGGTATTTGTTATAATGCAATAGCATGTAACTCATGTTTTAGGCTACTGATAATGTGAAGCATTACAGGTCTGGCAGATTTCTTGCGGTATGCTACAGGGACTAAGCAGTAGACATTCAGTATGCATATTACCGCTAGAATTTCGGTCATTAAAGAGATAATAATTTTATCCAGTTTTTAGCTTTATATCCAGATTAATACTGGATGGTCACGAAGAATGGTAACTAGAAATATTATCAGTGATTATGTGACTTAAATTTTTGTTTTACTTAGTTCTATCATCCATTTCACACGAAAAACATTCAAATTTTGTTGAATATTTTTTATATATAGTTTTATATGAATTTTTTATGTGAAATTTATATTAGTTTAGGCTTTAATGTCAATTCGAATTAATTCTTAAATGATCGGTATCAATGTCTTTTCATTAAATTTATAGAACAAGTATAGGGAGAGTAGTTTTTAAATGAATATAACAACAGTCGAATTATAAACTGAAATTGATGGAAAAAACATTAAGAGAATTCTCTCGAAATTCAAGTTAAATCACTCTGTCAATTCCTAGGCTCGGCCATGAAGATTAAGAGTTAAAAGATTTACACTGCTAAACGGAAAAATTTTAACAATAATAATTTTTATAAAGATTTTTATAAAATTTTTTATTGTTCATATTTTTAAAATTTTTTGTGTACTGTTAGCTGGCACTTTCAACTTTGTTTAGTTTAACTTTTTTTAGTTTTATACGTATACTTAAGCTTAATTAAACACTTCTTCTTTAGTTAAGTGGTGTGAAGAAACTTAATTCGTAATTGATATAAATTTAATTGAATAGGGCAATAATAGTAAAGACGATAATGATGTCTTTTTTTATAGAATACAATTATGGGTTTAACAAATTGAAAACATTTCTTATCTCATTATGTATTTGTTTTTGATATAAGGTAAAGGTTTCATTTCACAATCTATAAATTTTATAACATTTTGTAAAATTGTATAAGATTATACAATTTTGGAATTTGTTTATCGATATGTCTGAATTTTTCTTAAATAATTTAACATATTATATTTTTTATTATACTTTATATTTAACGATCTAACATAACTTAACAAGAAAAGGACATATAGTCAAATTAAAAAATATATAAAAACCATTATTGTACAACATTTTAAAACAATATATATAACTTTTTAAAACAATATATAACATTTTTATAATTATTTAATATATATGTTCTTTTTCTTATTTCTTTGCAGTTATTGTATAATTTTAATTTGGTTTCACGTTTAGTGTTTAATCCGCAAATTGTAAATAATTAAACGAAAAATGAAATATTTGTAATATTTAATTCCCTAATTCAATGTTAGTCTAAGGAAAAAAAATGAAATTATAACTAAAACAAATATAATTGTTTTTTCTGTTATAATTAATTCAATTTAAAATGTTTAACTTTAATAAAATAAATATTAAAGAAATATTAATAAATTAAAACATATGTATTTATTTACATAGTAAATACATAAGAAAAAAAAAAATTACGAATGACGCATGAAAAAATTGCCGTAGACTCTAGACAAAATAATCAAAATGAAACACCAATAAAAAAAACGACAAAATTATTAAAAATAAATCCCACAAACTGTTATAATACGAGAAGAAATACAGGCAATAGCAACAGTAGAAAATTTTGCATTATCAATTTGAAACAAAAAAGTAACTAATTAAAATAAATCGTCTTAAACTCCAAAACAAAAACAAAAAAAAAAACAAAAAAAATAAAAATAAAAAAAAAAAATTAAACTTGCAATAAAATTGCAAAGAATTTTTGCATATTAATTGCTTCTGTGAATACAAATGAAAACGTCGCATTCAAACGCGTCCAATTTCGACTATTCCAGTCGCCCTGTTTACGAGGGTGAACAACGCGCGCAACAACTACAGCAACAACAACATCAACTGCAACATTACGAAGAACAAAATCAGTATCATCATAATCAACAACAGCAGCAAAGAAGCCATCAACGAATTGTTGCTGAGCACGATAATCGACAGCAACATACATCGGCAATTATATATCATAAGCCTGATACTACTGCTGTTTATTTAAAACAAACATCGTCTAGCATTTCTTCTGAAGCAGCAGTGACAGCAGCAATTAATGAACAGCAGCAACAACAACAACAATCGCACCAGCAGTTTGTTAATAACTCATTAATTGCAACTGCTGATAACAAAAGTGATACAAAAGTGCATGGTGGTGTCATTTATATTGAGGACAGTAATAACGATCATCATCATCATCAACAGCAGCATCAACAACAACAACAGCAACAGCAGCAACAGCATCAACAACAACAACATCAACAAGATATCGATAATAATAATTGCTATACAAAACAACAACAACCGTCGCATCAAGATTCTCATATAAATATTAATGAAACAAGTGTAGTTGTTTCGAATACAACAAAAGATACTTCTGCTATACGTTACACAATTACTAAATATCAGCCGCAACAACAACAACAGGCGCAGCAACAACCATCACAGCAACAACAACAGCAGCAATTGCAGAAATCTTCAAGTAAACGTAAAAGAGAAAAAGGTGAGTTATCAATATTTTTTAATATACTTATATAGGTAGTGACCCCACAAAAAAAAACAAATATTTTATTATATATTGGTTTAATGATGCGATAGATAGATAATAGATAGATAGATAATGTCAATTATAGAAATGAGTATTATAGTTACTGATCAATGACATAACTTCTTACTGATATTTTCTATTTTTTTCTTCTTATTTGGCTTGGCACTACAGTCCAGTGTGAACTTTGGCCTCCCTTATTTTTTTTGTTTATTTATTGAATTAAAAAGAAAGATAAATAATATATTTTAATATAAAATTTATGATTTGTTAAAAATATGAAATAACTGACTTTTCTGAAATGTATTTTCAAATCAAATTAATTAGAAAGAAATAATATAAAATTAATCAAAAATAATAAAAATAAATAATATAAAATAAAAATATTATAAACTAAAAATAATATAAAATTAATATAATATAAAATTAACTTAATATAAAATAAAAATAATATGAGATGAAAATAATATACGAAAAATAATATAAAACAAAAAAACAATAAAAATATAAAATAACTCAGAATATAAAAAAAGATGTAACAAAAAAAAATTAATATAAAAAATATGTAAAAAATAAAATTAAAAAAAAAACAAATATAAAAAGAAAATAAATATAATATAAAAGGAATATAAGAATAATATAAAAATAATATGAAAGTAAAATAAAATGACATTTATGACATGACATTATTTTATTATAAATATTTTATTATATATTTAATATTAATTACTAATTATAATTATTATTATTAATTATAATTATTATTATTAATTATAATTATTATTATTAATTATAATTATTATTATTAATTATAATTATTATTATTATATTTATTATTATTAATTATATTATTATTATTTTTATAATTATTATAATTATAAATTATTATTATTATTATATTATTATTAATTTAATTATTATTATTATAATTATTATTATTAATTATAATCATTATTATTAATTATAATTATTATTATTAATTATAATTATTAATAATTATATAATTATTAATTTATTAATATACATTTATTGATGAATATTAATAATTAATATTAATTATTACAATTATAATTATTAAGTATTATTTATATTATAAATATTTTATAAAATGACTATAAAATAAAAATAAAACAAAAATAAAATCAAATAAAATAAATGTAATAAATAAATATTTATAGAAGATATAAAATAAAAATTAAAACAAAAAAAAAAATAATATGCGAAAGTAATATATAAATATAATATGGAAAAATAATTATTTTAAAAAAATAATATAAATTTGTTAGAAAATAAAAAAAACGACAAAATAAAATCTTAGAAATATAGAATAAAATAAAATAAACAAAACAAACGAGAAAAATAGTATTTTATATTGCAATATCCAGGCTTTGTGGAAGTTTTGCGTAAGAAAAAATTAAATGTATTAAACCAATAATAACAAAATACCAAAAACAATAATATATTACCAAATTCAATAATAAAATACTAATAAAGATATCTTTACGAAACAATTTAAATCAAATTTTAAATTAAATCAGAGTTTTAAAAATAGAACAAAAAGGTTAGTTTCACTTCACCGATGCTTAAATATTTTTTGCAATAAAATTTTTACAAATCCAGAGGGTTTTTTTTAATAAAATATAGTGTAAATTTTTTAGATAGAGTGTAAAGCCTTGCTAGACATTGCTAATTTATTCGATTATAAGTCCTTCAACAAAAAAAAAACTTCTACAAGCTGAAGATTTTGATACTTACAGCATATACACCCAACTCTTTTTTTACACGGTAGATACGTTCCTCAGAAATCCGTGTAAAAAAAAAACCGTGTAAAAAAAATGCCAAGTGTCAAACAAGACAGTAATTTAGAGACCGTACTAGATTAAAAATTTTTTACAAATAATTTTTTTTTTTCAACCGTGTAACTTCAAATCCGTGTAAAAAAGAGTTGGATGTAGTTACTTAACCGATCAGTACGTAATATTGGCTAATACTTTCTTAGTCGCATTACTTGTTCCCTACTTGAATCTTTGATTTTGTAGAGCAAATTTGAACATATTTAAACAAAGTCAGTGTATTTATCAAATATCCACATTTTTTATATAAATTTTTAACTTTTACTACATAATATATATAATAATTATAGATTATAGCTATTCTAATAAATGTTCATTGTTCGATAATGAAAAATCTTATTCAAAAACTGTACCAATCACATACACTTAAAAATGAGTGTTTTTTTGAAAATTGTGAGAAAACAAATTTAAAGCTCCATGATTTCCACACCTGCTTCAGTACAAAAATATATTAGATATCAAATTGAAGTATATTTTATAATGAGCGTTTTTTCATTATTCAGTATCTGGGCCGTATATCTCGATAAATACTTCACTGGACGTTTCCACAGGAAGTACTCTGTATAGAAGATAGATATGTGTTATATAATAAAATAATCCACATTTATTTCTAAAATATTGTGAATAAACTTATGACAGGTGTTTTATATACGTAATAAACTTTTATAAGTACATGTATGTACACATATGTATATATAAAATTATAGAATTTTTTATAACCAAACCTAATCAAAGGCAAACATTATTGGAGAATTTCTAATGCGTAGAAGTCTTAGCATAACAAACATAATTCTTCATAATCTACGCTCTTCTCTCTAGTCTGACCTGTACTTTGCTATTGTAAATATGGGAATAAACAACTTACTCTGGTTTTATTTATACTATATTTTTTGTGAATCCCATAAATGTTTATATATCTGTATGTATAAGTATGTATTTTGTAAAAATTACTTTTTTTTAAACAAAAATTAACATTTATTTTTTTTTTTTGTTTTTGTATATTGCATATTTAATTTATTTTTATTTTGCGCTTTCTTCCATTCCACATAAATAAATTTTGTTGTTGGTGCTTTCTTTTTTTTTTTTGCTATTTTATTTGAATGTTAATTATATTGTTGTTTATGCCCATATACCGCTTACTACCATACCATATACATTATAGGTAGACTCGTGCATGTGTGAATATAATTCCCGGTTTTTGTTATTTACACTTTTTACTTTATTATTTGAATGGGGACCAATAGGGTAGAAGCAAAAGTATAATTCAGAATTCGTAACCATTAAAGGAAATGCTTCTTTTTTCCCTCACAATTTTTAAAGTAGATAGTAGATAGACTTGCTTGAGTGTATATGAATGTGCTTCCATAAAAATATTTTGAAGAGCTGAGCTATACATAAATATTATTTTTTGTGTTTTTTTTTTTTTTGTATTTGCAAAATATTTAAAATAATCATGATATTCTCTGGCGACATTATCACCGTGATAAGAAAGCACACATAAATAATTATATACACTGTAAAAAACTGAAAATAAAGAATAATAAACAATTATTAATTTATTTTATGGGCTCTGTGGTTTATTTGTACTCAAAAGATTATAGCTGTAGTCTGCTGATATTTATACAATTATTGCGTTTATTTTATTTTATATAGAAATTAATAATATAATTATGTTTTCGGAAAGTAGTAGAAAGCAGCAGCAGCGACTGGAATTGATAGGGAATGTGACCACAACCGCGACGGCGCATTCTCAGTCACTGCTACTGCTATCAATATTTTTATTCCATTTTTATATTTTTGCCATATTTGTTTGCGTTCGTTTGTTTTGATATTTTGTATGGTTTTTTTTTATTTTTTTTATATAAATTTTTTTTATTTTTATATATATATTTTTTTTATTTTTTTATATTTTTTTTATATTTTGTTTATTATCTTTTTTTAGTTTTAACCATTTTTTGTGTACTTTTTTATTTGACTGTGGAAAAGTATTGACGATGGCTTGTTGGCTTGTCTGCCCCGCTCTCTTAGGTCTATGGATAACTTTTTTTCGTCAATTAGTTTGCATGTGCTTTGTTGCTCTCCTTAACTTTGACTGCCAACCTCACCTAAATTATTTTGTTTATTGCGCCTTATAAATTTTGTTGTTTGTATTTACTTAGACACGTTTTCAAAATAATAATTTATACATAATGTACTTGTGCTATATACATTGTTGCTATGTTTTTATTTTCATACTATACGTAGTTAAATTCCACTTAGCTTCATTATTATAGTAGATATACAGTAATAAATTTTTATTTTTAGTTTTGTTTTCATTTTAAAGTAAACCCAATTAAGCTATTTGAAATGGAAAATTTTGCGTTGTTATTTATTATTATAATTTTTATTTTTGTAAAATCAAAAACAGTATCCTTGTATTAAGTACTGATAATTTGTAATATTGATAAAAAATGTTTGCCGGTTTTATTGAAAAACTAATAATTGATTTACTTACATATAAATGATTGACTTTTTGTATTTTTCGGGTGAATATATTCCAAAACTACCAAATTTTGGCTAGATATGACATATATTTCCCTAACCTTGCTACTGTTAAACCAAATGGTATAGCCTAAACAAGATCTCTTGGTGCACTCTATCTAAGATGGACTAAATTACCTCACATATTAAAGTAATTGTTGGTAATATGTTTTACATAATAAAAAAAAACAGTTCAAAAAAGTATTTAAATCAATTACTAGAAATGTTTTTATTACTTTCTTCTCGATTTACATTTTCATACAAAAAGTTATCTTGCCAATAAACAGTAAGCTAATGAATTACAATTTTTATTAATTCACTTATAATTGATGACTTACCAGTTTGTTCTATTTGCTTAAATGAATTTTGTGCATGCAAACAGACAGCTATATTCATAAGACAACATCATTGCTGTTGCAAATTTACTGTTTTTTTTTGGACATAGTTTCAGCATTTGCATTGTGGCTTGTTATTCTCTCTTAACTCAAATTACTCAGGTTAAAAAGAATATTAACATCTGTATACATTGTGACCGAAAAGTTTTCGGAGGTTCTCATTTAAAATTCGCGCGCTGTATATTTTTCG